CCTGTGATCCCCAAGACGTCACTTCAGAGAGCATGGGAGTAAAGAAGTCAGGACCCTAGCCAGGCGTGGTGGTGCATGCCTTTAATCCTAGCACTCGGGAGGCAGAGGTAGGTGGATCTCTGTGAGTTTGAGGCCAGCCTGGTCTACAGAGCAAGATCCAGGACAGGCAGGGCTGTTACATAGAGAAACCTTGCCTCAAAAGACAAAACAAAACAATATATATATTTGACCCATCCTGTGTGCTCCCCAGTTGGAGACCTGTGGGCAAGTGTAGCTGTTGAGGGGAAAGCTCAGTGATGCCTTTCACCCCTGAGGTGGCTCCTCCTCCTGTCCTCTGCTTCCATGTCTGTGTTCTCCAATTCCAACCTCTGTGACCTGCAGTGTTCCAAGTGCTGTTTTATTGTGACTAAGTATCTTTAACAGACACTTCTAGAAAGGTTAAATAAGGCTACTTTACTGCTTGCAGTATACAGCCCTTGCCAGTGTGTTGACACTTGGCTTTTGTTGGGTGTCACTGTATGTTCTTCAAGGTTAATAGTTTTTAGACTTAGTAATTAGAGGAGAAAATACTGGATTCATGTGCATAGGTGATCAGCCTGGCATGGGAAGCCAGTTCTACACTCAGGACTGTGCACTGGAGTGAACAGTGCTTTGGAAGCACTTTTCACAGGCGTTGTGCTAGGTCACACAGGCTCTTCATTTGCCACATCGAGTGAGGGTTGACTCCCTTGCAGTCATCCCCCCCACAACTTAGGTGCCCTTCTCACCTGTCTGGTGACATGCCCAGGACACTTGTCAAAGACGTAGGTATTCTTGACCACATGGAGGAGTCTGATGGGTGCCCCTCCTACTGCACCCAGTCTTCAGGAGTGCTGCATCTCCCCTCCCTCCAAGTCTGCTGCTGGGCTCCTCAGGACCTGGGTGCCCTCAGGTTCTCTACCACCTGTGTTTCAAGCATCTGCCTCTCCATCCTGGACTCTGATTTGCAATTCCAGGCCAAGTCTTGCTTTCAACACCCACTTCCTGTCACCATCTCTTTTGCTGGCCTGTCATCTCAGTAGACTATCGTGAGCCCTGGCAGGGTCTTGGAACAGAGAGGCCAGCCTTCTACGGCGCTTTGGGGGCACTGAAGGTTCTCGGCACTATGGATACATGACTGCATTTCTGTTCTTTCTCTTCCAGTCTCCACAGCTGTCCCTGAGTCTCGCTGCACTTCTTCTACCACCACCACCCCACTTCCTCCAGGGTCCAAAGGTGGTTGTTGTGTTGGGGTTTGTTTATTTGAGAAAGGGTCTCACTTTGCAGCCAGCTGTATGAGACCCGAAACTTGTGATCCTTTGTCTCTGTTCCTGGGTGTTGGGATTAAGGCATGAACTACTTCCTCCAACTGTACATTTTAGCAAGTTCCCACCATCATATGGCCATGTGCCCACCATCCCAGTGTGACAGGGCAGTCACACTACCCTCCCTCCAGGCCCCAAAGCCACTGGTCTGTTTAGTTATCTAGGCTTCTGCTTTGTTCAGTTTATGACAGTTGTCCAGTGCTGATCCTTTTCGTTCACTTTGCATCCCTAACACTGTGTTCTGAGGCTCCGTGAATGCGTTGTTTCTAAGCTGCATCATGCAGACGAAGACAGCTTTTCACTCACCTTCGGCAGTGTGAGGAACGCCCCTGTGCACACTCTCATGCAGGGGTCTGTGGGAATACTGCCTTGGATCACTTGGGAGGTCTGGATGTGAGTTCTCCCCAGGCCAAGGCTAGCCTCCCACCCTCTAACAGTTGGCTTTCTCCTCATCATCCCTGTCCTTTGCAGCTTCATTCCCTGGGCCTGCACACATGGGCCCCCATACCCCAGAATCAGAACTGCTCTGCTTCGGTGGCCTTAAGACAAGTTCAAAGCAAGGACAGAAGAAAGGGCCTCTGATAGGAGCCATATCTCACACTCCATCCCGCGGCTTCGTCAGCCCACTTGGCATCTGTTCTTGCATTCCCATAGTGTCCACTGCGGGCAAAATGTGGCATGGTCATAGCAAGGTGCCATGGGTGCAGGGGAGTGCTTCTGTGAGGTAGGGAGATGAAGAGCGTCCTCCGTGTGACTTCCAGTGTAGAAGTGGGGGGGGGGGGGACGCTGCAGAGAGTGTGACTTCCAGTGTGAAGGGGGGGGGGACGCTGCAGAGAGTGTGACTTCCAGTGTGGAAGGGGGGGGGGGACGCTGCAGAGAGTGTGACTTCCAGTGTGAAGGGGGGACGCTGCAGAGATGGAGTCAAGGCTTCCGACTCTCCCTTCAGCCTCAGGTGCCTCTCTCTTAACTGCAGTTAAGATTGTGCTTTTTTGGTTAGCCGTGCATGTGTGAGACCCTGCCTGGAGTCTTGCTCTGGAAAAAGAGTTGTAACTTTCTTAGCAGTCAGTGGCCTGGGCTCCCAACACTTTACTGAAAACGCTAGGAGAGGTCCCTGGTGACCCATGGGCCTTGTCTGTGGGGACTGACTGTCCCAGCCCTCCTGGTCCCCCTCCCTGCCCTGCCTCCTCTCTGGATGCCCATGTTCCCAGTGCCCCAGGGTCTAGGGTGAGCTTACCTGTCTCCACCTAGCCGCATGCTACTGTGCTGAGGCCTCTCATTCTAAGTCAGCTGGTATCTTGGGGCTTGCCTTGCCGACACCTCAGATTCGGTGAGCCCCATTCTCATCACTCCCCACTAGCCTGCAGTTCCGCTAGTGAACTCTGCCCATCCTTACTGCACTGCCACCCTTCCTGTGCCTGCCCTGTAGTCCCCTCAGGCCCTACTCTTCCTGCCCTCTGCCCACCATTGCTTGGGTGAGGGGACGAACTAGCCTCCTGGGTGACAGACCTCCCCTGCCAACCTCGTCCTGCCTTGATGCCAAGTACTCTTTGTGTGCTACCTCCTTAAGACACCTGTCCTCTTGGCCGAGTTCTGGTGCCTGAGCAAGGCGCTCAGAGGACTGCTAGTGGGGCCCAGTCCTGCCCCCATCACAGCCCCCTCTCTTGTGTGGTGCCCTTCCCACCTGGGTTCTCTGGGTTCTCTCCGTATCTGCTTGTCCATCAGGTGCCCTGTGGCCAGTCATCTTTCCTGCTCCTCACTCTGGTTCTTGCCATCTCTCCCCTCATCCCTCTGCTCTTGGTTTGGAAGCTTTCAGCATGTTGTTTGGGAGGCTCAGCCCCACCCCCACCCCCACCCCCACAAGTGTGAGAACCCTGTGGTTGAAGCTTTGCTCTTGAGTCTCTGTGTTGTTTTTTAAGTGCCTGGTGCTTGGGTGCCCAGCCCCAGGTGATGAGGTGTGTCTCTGTCAGCTGCAGAAGTCTGCTCTCTGTGTCTGTATGTAAGGCACTGGTGGATTGTGACTACTGCAACCATCAGCTCAGTGTGAGATCAGGGTCCCAGGCGGGCACTTGGGGCATAACAGTATTAGATGTCCTATCCCTCATTCTTGGAGGAACCGATCACCAACAGATACTGATTCTTGAGTTCCTTCTGCTTCTGTCCACATGACCACAGAGCCTGAAGTCACAGATGAGAGTAAATGGAAGACAGCCTTGGCTCACAAATGCACTGACCAGGATGTGGCTTCTCCTGAAGCTTTTCCTCCAGCACTGCCCCAGTCCCTGGACTAGCCACTTTACCCCTGCGTCTTCTCTCGTGGGAGCCTCACAGATGCACAGGGAAACACAGATTTGAAGTGTATACTTCATCTGTTCCAAACAACTTAGTGAATAGTTAAAGCATGGTCTCACAGTGTAGCCCAGGCTGGCCTCAAACTTGAGACAGTCCTCCTGCTTTGGGCTCCTGAGTGCTGGGGTTACAGCTGTGCCCACAGTGGGTTACTTCATGAATTTGGCTTTGATAAATCCATGTGCCCATGTCCCTTGCTTCAGCTGGAAGGCAACCTCAGCCTCTTGAGCTGGAACCCGTTTCAGGTTCCTCGGACACCTGTTGGTTTGTGTGATTTGTGGTCCCACAGGAGAGTCACTGTGTATGTGTTCCTTCACTTGGTTTGTGGTCCCACAGGAGAATCACTCCGTACGTGTTCCTTCACTTCGCTGGAGTTTGTGAGACTTTCCAGTGCTTCTGCTCGTTCAGTCACTTTCTCTTCCCTGTGTGAATATGCCACACTCTGTCAGTCTCCTGCAGACACCATCTGCAGTGGCCCTCACTCAGTGCTAGCACTTCCTCTTGGCCACTCTGCCCCCCTTTTTAGCAGTGCCTGGTGCTATAATTGCCCCCCTCAGTCACACTCTGCCTATCCTGTGGCTCCTCCTCCATGGCTAGTGGGAACAGGCTACTGCTGGACAGAAAGGTGAGCCAGGTGTGGCCCTCCCTCCTATCCCTGGATCTTTCTTTTCTCTTCTTTTCTTCTTTCTTCCTTCCTTCCTTCCTTCCTTCCTTCCTTCCTTCCTTCCTTCCTTTCTTTCTTTCTTTCTTTCTTTCTCTCTTTCTGTCTTTCTTTCTTTCTTTCTTTCTGAGATTTTTGAGACAGGGTCTCTCCTGAGTCTCACAGTGTAGACCCAGCTGGCTTCAGACTCATAAAGATTTGCCTGCCTCTGCCTCCCAAGTACTAGGATCAAAAACATGTACCACCATACCTTTTCTTGAAGGATTCAGGCATCTGGATTTGGAGCTAACATGAGGAGGGTAAAAGAGACTACAGTAAGTCATTGTTGGCTGCAGTAGTGTGTGCCCCAGTCTTAGCTGCTGGGTCCTGTGGCTCGATGGCTTGAGCCCATGAGTTGGAGGCTAGCCTGGACAGCTTATAATACCTTATCTCAAAAACATAAATAATAAGATCAATAATTTTGTTCCACGGTTAGTTTGCTGGTGATCAGAACTCAGAAGCCCGATGATTTCATTGTTGGGGACAGTCCCAAGTGCAGAGCCACAGTGCTGCTGTAGACCGTGTGTGTGACATCCATGGTTCACAGACTTGTGCTGTGCACTGCTCTGTCACTCAGCAGGTAACCTGTCATTGAGTTTATTGTCTTGCAGGCCACATCACACAGGACAACATGCGCCTTACAGTCCTGAAAAAAAGGCACAAGTGCTCCCATGATGCTTAGAAGCAATTTGTAAGGTGAGTGTGCGGCTGGTGTGTGTGACCGAGTCTCACTCTAGCTAAGACTTACTTCAAACTTACCATCCTCTTGTCGCAGCCTCCTGAGTGCAGGGATTATGGGCACAAGCCACCAATCCAGCTCATTGTGACTCTTGACTTAGAGCACAGTATCCCTCCCTAGCTGATGTAGCTATGGATTGTGGGACAGGTAAGGGTGTGTATATGGTCAAGCCCAGAGGCAGCTGCAGTCTGAGGCTATAGGCGGAGTTTTCCTGTCCCAACTGCCTGGTACCAAAGAAACCCACAGAGGCTTATATTAATTACAAATGCTCGTCCAATAGCTCAGGCTTATTACTAACTAACTCTTACACTTAAATTAACCTGTAGTTCTTTTTATGCTTTGCCCATGGCCCATGGCTTGTTACTTCATATTTTACACATCCTGTTTGCTTAGCAGCTGGCTGTCAACTACCATTTGGTTCCCTAAGAGGCTAGTCTCAGGGTGAGGCACATTCACTCAGAGCTCTTCCAGAATGGACCATCAAGGGTGTGGCACCAGCAGACATTAGTGTCTGTTGTGTGGGCCATGGCTCCTGGTGGGTCATGTGGGCCAGCATCACATTTCTTGGTGTTAGCCGTGTTCTCTCTGCGTCTGGAGTGCTTCCCTCGCGTTTCCTCTCCTTCCCATTGCACTAATGCAGTGGACACGGTGACCTGGGGTGGAGCAGCTCACAGACAGCTGCAGTCTGCTGTGCTCAGTGACTGCCTTCTTTCAGATTTTGTACAGGTATGGCAGCACATGCTTGTCATCACAGCACTTAGTGGGTAGAGGCTGGGGGGTCAGGAGTTCAAGGACAGCCTGAGCTACCTGAGAACTTGTCTCACAAGAAAAGAAAAGAGGAGAGAAGAGAAGAGGAGAGGAGAGGAGAGGAGAGGAGAGGAGAGGAGAGGAGAGGAGAGGAGAGAAGAGAAGAGAAGAGAAGAGAAGAGAAGAGAAGAGAAGAGAAGAAAAGGGGAAATAAAGTGACACTTGGATCTTGGGCTGTTTTCCTTCTTTGGTGTCCATGGATTTGTAGGTGCACAACTCCAGCACACACATGTTCTACACTGCCAGCCTGATGTGCACATCTGAGAACATCCTGCCACAGCCATTGTTCGGTGTGTCTGGGGGTGCCATTCTTCTGTGGATATCCCTGCCACCTGTACCCCAGGAAGAGCAGAGCCCTCCGTGCCCTGGCAGCTTTCATGGGACCGGAGCCGGGAAGCACAGCAGAGCTGGCACCACTCAGTAGTGGCTGTGCCCCTGTGTGACATGCAGCGCTCTGCCCTCCAGGGAGAGCTCAGACGGAAACCATGGAATTCTGACCCCAGAACCTCTTGTCCCTCCGTGTTAGCCAGGCTGTTCCTCACAGAACATGCCTAGCAGAGGAAACCAGAAAACAAAGGGGTCCTGGCCTGTAGAATCCTTCAGCTGGAGGCCTTGATGTTCCTGGGCCCAGTTATGGTTTGTTTACAGAATTGGATATTCGCTGGGTGTGGTGTCACCCTGCCTTTAATCTCAGCACTTAGGAGGAAGAGGCAGGTAGATCTCTGTGGGACTGGGTCAAGTCTAATCCACAGAGCCAGTTCCAGGCCAGCCAGGGCTATACAGTGAAATCACGTTTTAAAAAGAAAAAGAAGTGGGAATCCCAGGAGAGTGTTGGATCTGTGAGGGGCCTTTCCTGTCATATCTGTCTTTAAGCAGATAGCTCTTGCTGTGTGCAAGTACCCTCTGTCTCAGCATGTTGATGGCAGGCAGGGAGCAGGTGAGGCAGGGGTGTGGAACCTGGCTGGTGGACACACCGAGATCAGTATCCTCTGTCTCAGCATGTTGATGGCAGGCAGGGAGCAGGTGAGGCAGGGGGGTAGAACCTGGCTGGTGGACACACCGAGATCTCAGATGAGGCAGAGCCACCCAGCCTCTTGTTGGCCCTTCAGAACCAGGCTCAGCCAGTGGTGCCTGAGGTTCTGAGACCCCAGTCCCAGTGTTTAGGAAGAAGGAGCTGTGCAGAGTGTTTGCAGGCAGGAGACGCAATGTCCTGTGTGACTTACAGAGGCCTGCCCGGGAAAGCTGCATGAGGGCATGAGGAGGGCAGCCCTGGCCCGGGCAGATGTCCCCATTCTTCTGTCCTCTATGGTACCCGACACCGCCCGGAAGCTCTTTTGCTCTGATTCTTCTCTGGCTGTGGAAACAATGGTGTCTTCTTGCCCTGGTATGTGCTGCGCGTCAAAGTTCTGTACTCTGCCAATGGGGACACCCATTGGCAAGTGTGTTCCACTTACAATTAAGAAAAAAAATGTATGTCCGGACTTGAAAAGCCATGCTGCTGATTGGTGGAGCCGCAAGAACAGCCCCACCCCCTTTGCCCGCCTCGATGCTGCTGTGGAGGGGCAGGTTCACCTTGGTGCCCATCACCATTTCCCTTCCATGTACCAAGGCCAGGACACAGCCGGACCCTCCCTCTCTCACTGTACTTGTCCCCAGTGTTCCCACCCTTAGCAAACATGATAAGAGAAGGCCGAGCCGGGCAGGCCAGGCGCCGCCGCCGCCACCACAGAGCAGTTCCTGCTAGAGTCCAGTCCTTCAGCTCCTCTGATCTCTCTGCTCTTGGCAGTTGGAGGCCACAGGAAGTGCGGGGAAAGTCTGGGAAGAAAGACTGGATTCATAAACAGGAGACCTTATGAAGGTTAAAAATCACGTGCTAGAAGCAGCGTATGATTGAGGAATCGAGAGGTGAAAACAGGAGCTGTCCGCAAAAGCTGTTGCCCACCTTCCGCATTAACCTGGGGAGGAGGAAGCTGAGGTGGAGGAGGGCAGCCAGCTACAAGCTCAGCCTGGTGAGTCTCTAGGAAGGGGAAGACAGAACACTGTTGGCCCATGCTTCTTTCCCTATGCCTTGGTGACGTCTGTGTGGAGGGGGTGAAAGCCCTGTCCAGAGCACAGACAGGTCAGGTCACTGGGGACAGCAGTGTCCACCAGGGTCCTCTATGTGTGCTGGATGCTGTGATTCTGTACAGCTGGTGCCTTTCGTTATCTCTGTATGTGGTAGGTGACAGCTTTGCATGCACAGGCAAACCACACACTGACCCCTTGGGTCTCACACAGCAGGACAGTGAAGAAGGCAGAGATTGAGTCCTCGGCTAGTCTGGCACTTGGGTCCTTTTCTGCTCAGTGTATTTGAGCTGACTTGGCCCGTGTGTTAAGTGTGTATGTGTATGCGTGGTTTTGCCCAGGATCCTCACCAGCTCTCACCCCCTCTGCAGGGTGTGACAGGGAATCATGCAGCCGTCAGGACACAGGCTCCGGGACATCGAGCATCATCCTCTCCTGACCGACAATGACACTTACGATTCTGCGTCCTCTGAGGCCGACATGGCAGACAGGGTGTGGTTCATCCGTGATGGCTGTGGCATGGTCTGTGCTGTTATGACATGGCTTCTCGTCGTCTATGCAGACTTCGTGGTGACCTTCGTCATGTTGCTGCCTTCCAAAGACTTCTGGTACTCTGTGGTGAATGGAGTCATCTTCAACTGCTTGGCGGTGCTCGCACTGTCATCCCACCTAAGAACCATGCTCACTGACCCGGTGAGTACACGCATCTCGGCTTAGAACATTGGCATGTCTTGATGCTGTCAAGGAGCAGCACACTGCACTGCACAGATATGTGCAGACATGAAGACTGTGCTGGGCTGTCTCTGGAGCAGAGTCCTGGTGGCCTCCGAGTGAAGGCAGACCTGGACTTCAGCTCCTCGGTTCCTGATGCCGTGACATACTCTTTTTGTGGCCACCCTAGAGCTGGGAGAGGTGGCTGGAGTTTCCTTCTGGCAAGGGCAATCTGAAGGCCATGTGAAAGCAGTCCCCACAGGCGGCCACTGCAGGTGTATGAGGCCGTGTGTGTTCCTTCCAAGAGAGTTCTGAGCTTCTTTACAGCACTGACTGTGACCCTGGCTCAGGGACCCCGGTCTGTGCATGGAGAGTGACCTGTGCTTGTGTCTGCCAGTTTGCTCCCACGAAGGTGACAAGAGAGGAGTGCTAGCTGGGCAGCACCCTGTAAACCAGTGGATTCCAGCATGCATATCAGACAGCCTGATGGAATACGGTTCATAAGAGTAGCAAAATTACAGTTATGAAATGAAACGAAATCATCTTATGAGGAACATTAGGGTCCCAGCATCAGGAAGGTTGAGAACCACTGTTGTAAGCTTATATTGCCATCTACGATGGAAGCAAGGCTGCCTGGCCTTGCAGGCTGCCTCTCTGCCATGTTGGGAATCACAGCATAGCCTTTGCTTTCTCTCCTGTCTGATTCAGTGGCCTTGGCTAGCCTATCCACAGCTAGTCTGTCCACAGCTAGCCTATCCACAGCTAGTCTGTCCACAGCTAGTCTGTCCACAGCTGGCCTGTCCACAGCTAGTCTGTCCACAGCTAGTCTGTCCACAGCTAGCCTGTACAGCTAGTCTGTCCACAGCTAGTCTGTCCACAGCTAGCCTGTACAGCTAGTCTGTCCACAGCTAGTCTATCCACAGTTAGTCTGTCCACAGCTAGCCTGTACAGCTAGTCTGTCCACAGCTAGTCTGTCCACAGCTAGCCTGTCATCCACAGCTAGTCTGTCCACAACTAGTCTGTCCACAGCTAGCCTGTCCACAGCTAGTCTGTCCACAGCTAGCCTGTCCACAGCTAGTCTGTCCACAGCTAGTCTGTCCACAGCTAGCCTGTCCACAGCTAGCCTGTCCACAGCTAGCCTGTCCACAGCTAGCCTATGAACAGAACTGTGTCGTAGACCTCACCCTGTAGTGCAGTCTGCCAGTGGCCTGGAGCCTCTGGCCGCACTAACTCCCTTCCTCAAACTCAGCATACTTGGGGCTTCAGAAGCCTTTGTTTTCCTGAAACAAGATCTCACTATATAGCCCAGGCTGGGTTCAAACTCAGCCATCCTCCTGCATCTGCCTCCCCAGTGCTGGGATTATGGGCATGTTTTACTGACTTTTTTTTTTTTTGTAGAGGAGGGGGCCAGAGTGGTTAAGAGGGTGGCCCTGTGTAGCCCTAGCTGGCTGGAACTCAGTATATAGATTAGGCTGGCCTCAGACTAGTGGCAGTCCTCCTGCCTCCGCCTCTCAAGTGCTAGGATTATGGTGTGAGCCTTGTTTTATTGTTCTGCCTTCCTTTCACCCAACTGTCCATCTGTGTGCACAGGGGGCTGTCCCCAAAGGCAACGCCACCAAGGAGTACATGGAGAGCTTGCAGCTGAAGCCTGGCGAGGTCATCTACAAGTGCCCCAAGTGCTGCTGCATCAAGCCGGAGCGTGCCCACCACTGCAGGTACAGCCTCCGCTCTCCGCAGAGCCCTGCTCAGGGCCAGCACCTGTAGTCTGGGGAGTGTGCACACGGTGCAGACCTCAGGTCCCTTCCCTGTGGAAGTGACAAGGTGTCCACTTGTTTTCCTGGTCTGGTTGCCATGGGCTTCTGGCACATGGATGTTGTAGCTGGAAAAGCAGGCCTCTGTATGGTTGCTGCCCTTCCTGCCTGGCAGGAGCTGCAGACTAGGTGCAGGCTCCTGTAGACATGGTGTCTGACACTGGCTAACGAGAAGGAGGAGCAGCAGTCCAGCCCACAAACGTGCATTTCAACGGCAGCCTCCCCTGGGCTCCGTCCACTGGCCTTTGCTGCAGTCTGTCATTTGCCCTGCTGTGCCAGGACTTGGTTTTAAACAGGCTGCCGTTCCTTGGGGGTGCTGATATCGGGTGTGGAGGGTGAACCTGGGATACTTCTCCATCCCAGGGAATCTGTTGGGCTTCCTCGTCCTGGACTGAGTCTCTGTGTGTGCACAAAGATGGAGTGTGACCTCCCCTTGAAGTGTCTTCCTCCTGATGGGTTGGGGTTTGCAAGTGAGAGCAAGTAAAGAAGAGCCGGGCTGTCAGCAGGCCGCGGGGAGGACAGACGGTGTAGGAGGGTTGTCCACCTGTCGCTGTGGAAAAGTGGGAGACTACGGCCAGCTAGGCCAGAAAGCAAACACAGGTGCCGTGGTATCGCGAGAGAGTAGCGGCCTTGGGCTAGGGCTGGCATGGGGAGTGACTGGCTGTGGACACAAATTCCTTTGGGGGTCACCTCACAGCTCCACAAGTGCAGGAGTCACTTGGTCGTGCATTTAAAGTGAGTGCGCTGCTGTGGCAGGAAGTTACTCCTGCCATCCATTGGAGATGACCTGGGAATGTTTGGAAGCTGTTAGGTTGGCAGGTACACCAGGGAACATGAGAGAAACTACATCCGACAGAGTGGAATAGTTAAGAGACCAGGGAGCCAACTACTGCTGTACAGTGCTTACTGGATGCAGTCAGTGATGTAAGCTGTTTCAGAAACTCACCTAGCAGCAGAGTCAGGCATGAGGAACAGTGTAGGAAAAGGCACAATACACACTTGTAATCCTAGCACTTAGGAGGCTAAGGCAGGAGGATCGTCGTGAATTTGAGGCCAGCCAGTTTGAGACTTGTCACAGGTGTCAGCAGAGTGCTGTGCAAAGATGTCCCCCGGCCTCTCCCACCTTGGATTTCATTTGGTGTCTGTCACTGGTTTGCCCAGAGCACAAGGTACTGAACAGTGCACTCTCCTTTGCAGTATTTGCAAAAGGTGTATTCGGAAAATGGACCATCACTGCCCGTGGGTTAACAACTGCGTAGGAGAAAAGAACCAGCGATTCTTCGTGCTCTTCACGGTGAGTGGAAACTTTGCATGGAGATTGTGTTGAACTGGACATTCTGAAATTGAACCCACTGGAGCTGGGGACGTATTTAGCCTCAGAGCTGATGGCTGCGTTGGCACATGCAGGGCACAGTCCAGGGGTGACTGTCTGCTACTTGTATTACATCGCCTGTGGGTTTGTCTGGCCCCTCTCAGTCACTGCTGTCATACACAGGGCCTTCCTTTAGCCGCAGAGCTCAGTTCCCTGCTTGTTTGCCATGTAACCATCGGGCTTGATCCGCTGTGGGCTTGGACCGGCCGCCAGCACTCTTCCATGGGTGCGTGGCGGGGGAAGTGTGAGAGAGAGAGGCGGGCTGAGAGAGAGCGAGAGCAGCCAGCCTCTGCTTGTAGGATGACAAATTGTTCGAAAGAGCTAATCCGTCTCCCTCCTTCTAGATGTACATAGCTCTGTCTTCAGTCCATGCTCTGATTCTCTGTGGACTTCAGTTCATCTCCTGTGTCCGAGGGCAGTGGACAGGTAACTGATGCTCTCTGTGTCATTCCTGAAAGTTTTGTAGTTATCGGGGAGGGTCCCGAGGGAGAATCAGTTTCCTGGATGTGGGGACACACACACACACACACACACACACACGCACGCACGCACGCACGCACACACACACACACACACGCACGCACACATTCGCACACAAAACCAACCTTATTCGTAATAACCTGAGCTTAGTTTGTTGTAGTTGTTTGTTAGTTTTTGGGTTGTTTTTTGTTGTTTTGTTTTGTTTTTTAAACAGGGTCTAACTTTGTATCCCAGGTTGACCTTGAACTCAGGGATGGTTCTTTTACCTCAGCTTCCTAGGTGTTGGAATACCAGGTATAAGCCATTGTGCCGGTAAAAAGCTGACATTTCTTAAGACCAGAGTGTGGTAGTTTCACCCTGCTATCCTGCTTATTTGCTGAGTCCTCACTGGATCCCTCACTCAAGGCGGGATGAATTTCTGATAGGTCATTTTAGCTACTTGCAGACTTTAGACACTAGAAGCGGGCAGGATTGCCACCAGCCCATCAGTTCTGTGTTCGCTTTCTGGCTGGCTTAGTCAGTCATGATTCACAGCTGTCTTGGCGTGGCCTGATGGGGTATCCAGATAGGTGTGATCCAGACGGCCCTTGACTGGCAGCTGCAGAAAGGCAGAGGGGCTGAACTCCTGTGACAGTAGCCACACAGTGTCGGTACAGGAGTGTCCTTCAGGACAGTCCTATACCTCTGGGAGACCAGGCAACTCAGCGTGACCTTATCTCATAAAGAGAGCAGGGGTAGAGCTCAGTAGTAAAACGCTTGCCTGGCGTTTGTCAAGCCCTGACTCCAACCCGCAGTGCAGTAAGAACTTCAGGGAAGGTGGTGGACTTGGGAGGTTGCTGGCTAGGAAGGGTGGGCAGGCTGTGTGCTGGGCAGGCTGTGTGCCAGCTTCTTGGAGAGCTCGAGGGCACTCCAAGGGAGCACATTCCTTCCAGGAAACTCACTGCAGGTGCCAGGGGTGTGTGAGTGTAGGGCTCCCTCCCTGTGGTGTAGGGTGCTTGTGGTGCACTGACCACACCTCCCTCTCATCCCCAGAGTGCAGCGACTTCTCACCTCCCATAACTGTAATCCTGTTGGTCTTCCTGTGCCTTGAGGGCCTCCTGTTCTTCACGTTCACCGCGGTCATGTTTGGCACCCAGATCCACTCAATATGCAATGATGAAACAGTGAGTCTTGTTCTGTGTCTGCGGGGGGTGGGGGGTGGGGGGGGTGAGGGGGGGTCCTGATCTGGAGTCTTGGACATTGCTCTGTGTCTGTGGGCGGGGTGGGGGGGTCTGATCTGGAGTCTTGGACATTGTTCTGTGTCTGCGGGCGGGGTGGGGGGGCCTGATTTGGAGTCTTGGACATTGCTCTGTGTCTGTGGGCGGGGTGGGGGGGTCTGATCTGGAGTCTTGGACATTGTTCTGTGTCTGCGGGCGGGGTGGGGGGGCCTGATTTGGAGTCTTGGACATTGCTCTGTGTCTGTGGGTGGGGTGGAGGTTCTGATCTGGAGTCTTGGACATTGCTCTGTGTCTGCGGGTGGGGTGGGGGGTCTGATCTGCAGTCTTGGACAGCCTCGGACCCACAGGCCTGTGTTTGCTGATCCCTCCATTGACACAGTGTTGTCTCTGGGCCTCGGATTGATGGAAGTCAGTTAGGCCAAGCAGGCCCTGGGTCAGAATGCTCAGCGGGTCTCAGGAACTTAACTGCCCTCCTACCCCTGCAGGCCTGGAGTAGGTGCTGTGTAAATACATGACTGAGTAGGAATTCAAGCAAGGGGTTGGTCCCATGCAGAGGGTCACTGCCTGTCAAGAGCCGCAGCAGGCTGACTTTGAGGCTGGTCCATGCGGATGGCCGCAGCCTGGCTGTGTGAGAGAGACAGGGAGGGGCACTCTCAGTGCCCGGCCACTCCGTGCCCAGGTCCACACAGGCTTTGGAGGCCTGGCAGCAGACTCGGGTTTAGCTGTGTGGAGCAGCAGGCTGTCTGTGGGTCGCTCCTCACTGCTACTGTGACTTCTTCTGCTTCCAGGAGATCGAGAGACTGAAGAGCGAGAAGCCGACGTGGGAGCGAAGACTGAGGTGGGAAGGAATGAAGTCTGTCTTCGGGGGCCCCCCCTCCCTCCTCTGGATGAACCCCTTTGTTGGCTTCCGATTCAGACGGCTGCAATTGAGGGCTAGGAAAGGGGGCCCCGAGTTCTCTGTGTGAGCCTTCAGGGCAGGGATGTCTGCAGACATCTTGATGCTCCCTGGCCTGCAGACACAGCAGCCTGGTGGGCAGATGGAGCGGGCCAGCTGACGGGGCCAGGAGCAGCTTCGTGGACTGAGGGCCGCAGGGGCTTGTCAGTTTTTTGTGTGTACTGCCAGGAGAAGCATGCAGCCCCAGGAGGCCATCCTGTCACCATCCTGACACTTGGGATGTCATGTGGGCTGAGAGCAGAGCTGCTTCTCAATCATGAAGAAAGACGCCCAGCAGCAGCTGCTGGAGGCCTGCTGGCCCATCCCCAGCACACTCCCTTTCCAGAAGGGTTTCCACAGAGACTTTGTGGCTTGGAGGGCTCCAACCCCTAGCACTGAACAGTGAAGATGGCTTCCAGAACACTCCCTGCTGTCCGGAATGGGCATCCTTTGACCCTTCCAGCAAGTCTGTATGTGCTCATCTGTGTGTGTGTCTCTGTGTGCGTGTCTCTGTGTGTGTGCATGCGCGCATGTGTCAGAATCAGCAGTGTTGTTCAGGCACGTGTGTGGTAGACAAGCTGTCTTTCCGACTCCAGTGTTTCAGGGAAGTGGGACGCACTGCTGGCCCTCGCTGGCCTTCTATGAATGTATCATACAGTGTCCAGATCCAAAGAACAGGCATGCCTGCGCATGGGCCCGGCCTCCTGCTTTTATTTCACTGAAAGTAGTATTGAGGGCGTGGAGCTGAGGTTTTGTTGTTCCAGCCAAACTAACAGCATGCAACAGTCCTCAACAAGGAAGGTGGTGCCCTGTGCTGAGGCCCAGCACTGCGGGGAGGGGCCATGGGAGCTCAGCCTGAGAGAAGCGAGCCGCCTTGGCCCCTTTGGGCAGGTGCTGCAGGGGGCCAGCCTGGTGCCTGAGCTGTCAGAGCAGTGACTGATGACTTTATTTCTCCACATGGCGCTGCAGTCAGAGTGCACCCTTGGTGCGGCTTCGAATACGGCAGTACACACACAGCTCCCCTCGGGGACTTGCCTTAAACTTCTAGGTTGTTCCTTTGCTGCTGAGTGAGAGCGGTCTGACAGAGGCTGGGGACTTGTGAGTCCGCTCCCATGCAGACACCAGTGTTTCCCTGTTGGGACCAGCTGCCTTTCTGTCTTGTGATACCATGACTGTTGGCCATGTCAGTCGCTTTTGCCCGGCCCTCCTCTGGGCTTCTGTGCCACTGAGGGGAACCCCAGGACCTGTGAGCCTAGCCCTAATGCAGTGAGCAAACTGTGGGGCGGCCTCAGATTGTCTCTGCATTCATTTGCACATGTGTCTGGGCATGCAGGCTCTGGTGGTGTCATCCTCCAGTGTGGAATCTGTGGCGGTGAATCCAAGCTGAGTATACTTGACTTTTCAACTCCTCAGTGTGATTTTATATGAAATAAAGTGACCCGTCCACAGTTCTCACCTCCTGCAGCCCTCTTCTTCCTGGGTGGCCTGCTTGCCTTTTCTCCAGAATCTAACTGCTGTGTGCCTGTGATGGGATGTGGGCATCTGGGCACAGTTCCCAGAGTCACCTGCAGCTGTTCCCCGGCTAGGATTTTTCTCTGAGACCCCTTAACTTTCTCCTGAATGGCCTTGGGGAAAAAAATTTTTTTTTAGTTTATCTTAAAATAAAAACTAAAGCTGAGCATAGAAGCTGGTATCTGTAACCTCAGGCCTTGGGCAGGAGGATTGATTGCTGTGCTTTTGAGGCCAGTCTGCCTAAAGAGTCTAACTGACCCAAACGTGAACAAATGCTATTAAAAACCTTTCTGAGCTGGACGGAGGTTGTGCACACCTTTAACCTCAGCACTTGGGAGGCAGGGGCAGGTGGATCTCTGAGTTCAAGGCCAGCCTGGGCTACAGAGAGTTCCAGGACAGCCAGGGGGTACACAGAGAAACCCTGTCTCAACTCCCCACCCCCATGAAAGAAAGGAAAGGAGGGGGGCTGCATGAGGAAGGACCCAAAATGGCCTCTGATCCGCACAGCCCTGGGTGTGCTGTACAGATGCTACCTTGAGAGGCTCATGGTGGCTTTCCTGACAGGAACACGGGATACCTGGCCCACCGCTGCAGCTCCTAGCCTGAGGCCTTTAGCTGTGACCCTGCCTGCGTCCCTCCTGGGGTCTTAGGAGGCTTCACCATACAGGGCAACCAGGACTGGTGAGAAGGGGGTGAGGCCTGGGTATGAGACCAAAAGGTGTCACCATGGGACCCAGTCAGCTGCCGGCGCAGGGGAAAGCCCTCGTGCTGCGCAGCCTGGCTCTTGTAGCGGGCACAAGCCCCACAGACCCCTGAGGACCCAGTGGCTCCTCAGCTGTCAGCTGCCTAAGCGCAAACAAAGACACGGACCCCAAAGGGGAGAGACGTGGTGATCCCATGGCCCTGTGGAAGAAGGATGGACAACCTGGGCTGTTCAAGAGGCAACGAGGGCAAGTCTCTCATAACAGCTCAGGTGGCTTTCTGGAAAGTCCAGGAGGCTGTGGAGGAGCTTGTTCTAGGCATGCAACCCCACAGATCAGAGGTGAGGGGTAATCCTTTGCTTCCTGTTGGCTTGGGGCTCGCCGCCTGTGTTCCTCTCCTGGGCAGTACGCTTTCTTCATTGTGCAGCTTAGATTACGAGGCTGGATATTTTGCTGCTCGAGATGAGGGGTCTGTGGCTTTTGCAGGACCTAACCCCGCTTAGTCATGTCACCATGTCCTGTGCCCCACCCCTCCTTATCCCCGTTCATTCTGCTTGAAGTTCACACCTTCTAGACTGACGTGGAACAATGGCTAGACTGGATTCACCCCATCTAACATCCCCACCTCCCAAAGTGGCTGCCCATGGGCTCCACTCTCATGTGTCTGGGTTTAAGTGACTTTAATTTACCCCATAGAGCGAAGTTTAGCCCTGGGTCTCAGACTCAGCCTTGCGAATCCTGCCCTATGCTGGTCCCCAGGGATCTTGGCTGCCCATTTGGTTCTGGGGACCACCTAGGTGTGTACCCTTTGCTCTGCCTCTTTCCTCTAGCTTGTGAGTTAAGTGTGGGGCTGCCTAGACCCACCCTCCCCCCAGCCCTATTTTCTTTTGTCATCTTCTAGAAACCCCTCAGCTCTGTCTTCCAATTCTTCTCATGTGTTTTGTTGTTTGTCTTTAGACAGGGTCTCACTATGTAGCCTTGGCTGGCCTGGAACTTGTTATTTAGATTAGGCTGGGCCCAAACTCACAGAGATCCACCTGCCTCTGCCTTTCAGTGCTGAAATGAAAGGTGCGCACCACCATGAGCTCCAGATGCCCTTTGCCTCATGTTACCCACTTGGTTTAGAATTCCTGCGTGGCCCAGGCTCCTGCCTCCACCTCCCAGGTGCTGGGATTACAGGTGTACGCTACTGTCCCCAGCACCTTCTCGGATGCCTTATTTGGGTTTGTGACAGTTTTCAGGCCCAGGAGCTTGCGGGGCTCTGTGCCACAGGACAGGACATGTGGGGTCTGCCTTAGATGGGGGGTGGCACCACCACAGACTTTGGCTTCGTCCTTGTCTTTCCTTTCTCCTGTTCTGTGCTCTCTGGCTGCTACTGCAACCTCTTCCTCAAGTCCTGGATAGGACACTGAGGGGCCAGTTGGACTGTGGGGTGAAAGGGACCCCCAGTTTCCAGGGTAAACTGCCCCTCTCCTCTGTGTCAAGGAGCAGAACTCAGGTGCCGGACATTCTCTCATGGAGCCCCCCCAAACCACTTGGTGTTCCGAAACTGGGGAGCTCACTGTCGCTGAGAGGCGGCATAGACAAGGTGGCACCCCACAGGGAGTCAAAAAAGCTAGGTGTGGTGGTGCCCGGCTGAAATCCCAGCACTGGGGAGGTGAAGACAGGTGGATCCCTGAGTCCTGCTGGCCAGCCAGCCTCACCTACTCGGGCGAGCCTCAGGACAGAAAGACCCTGCTTCAAAAACAAGATGCCTCAGGAGATGCGCTCAGTGGGTAAGGGCACCTGCCACCAAGTCTGATGACTCAGGTTTGATCCCTAGGACCCACATGATAGAACTAATATAATAGTTATATATATTCTAATAGAATAGAATAATTGTCCTTTGACACCCCCCCCACATGCTATGACATGTGTCCATGCCCCCTCCCACATAAATGTATAATAATTGGAAACCCCAAATGTTGATAGCGCCTGGGGAACAATATGGAGGTTGACCTGTGGCCTTCACACACGCATGTACACACACATAAACACACAAAACCTGTGTCCATTGCTGCGAGTTACCATGCATGGTTTCCTTGACTCTCACTACTGTACCACTGTGTACATGGGAAACTGAGGCTCAGGGCGCCTAGGCAGCAAGCAGTGGTGATGCTGTTAAACATGAGTAGCTTTAGGAAAACCGCAGTGCACACAACGGCCAGCAGGATGTCTGCCACTCACCTGATCACCCAGCCACAGGCGCACAAGGACCAAGAGCTGGACCTTAGGAGCTCACACCATGACAAGGGGCGGCGGCATCCCTCCTTGTAGGAACAGGCTGGACCAAGAGAAGGAAGTGGGTTTACAGTGTTACATGATGGCCACCAGGGGGCGCCAGAAGACAGCAAATGTCTGCATGCTGCTCAGACCCCCTCAAGGCTTGCTTTCTCTTTTAAAAAGGTGTACGTGCATGTGAATGTGTGACGTGTGCGTGTGCGTGTGCGTGTGTGGCCTGAGAGAACAGAAGAGTGTGTGGGATCCTGTAGAGATGGAGTTACCTGACTGACATGGGTGCTGCCATCCAAATTCAGGTCCTCTACAGAAGCAGCAAGTGCTCTCAACTGCTGAGCTATCTCTCCAGCCCCATCAAACAAACAAGCCCGAAGAAAGTCTCCTTGGCTCAGTGGTTAAGAACACTGGCTGCTCTTTCAGAGGACCTGGGTTCAATTTCCAGCACCCATGTGGTGGGTCACCACTGTCTGTAACTACAGTTCCAGGAAATACAGTGTTTTCTGGCTTCCTCAGGCACCGTGCACACATATGGTACACATACATATAGGCAGGCTAAAAACTCATACACAGAAATTAAAAATAAATACATCTTTAAAGGGGGGGGGCTGCTGGAGAGATGGCTCAGCAGTTCTGAACCTATGCTCTTGCGGAGGACCTAGATTCAATTCCCATCTCTACATCGTGGCTCATAATAATCCGTAATTCCAGCGCCAGGGCATGGAATATAATGCCTTCTGCTGGCTTCCACAGACATCAGGATCTCACCCATATATCCATGCATGAAAAACATCCATACATGCAAAATAATACAAATCTGAAGATTTTTAGTGGGGGGGGGGGGGGGTTTGCTGGAGAGATGGCTCAGAGGTTAAGAGCACTGGCTGCTCTTCCAAAGGACCTGGCTCACAACTGTCTGTAACTCCAGTTCCAAGGAATCGAGGCCAGATGAGGGAGGAGCCCCTTAGGCTGTGCAAGGGTTCTGGGGCAGGGGCAGGTGAGTGGCAATCTACCCACTAGTGTGGAATCTGGGCTAGTTAGGACCACAGAACACTGGAAACTTCTCCCAGCCCAGAGTTGTTGGGGGATTCACTTTATTGGTCACCAGGCCCATGGGTGGTAGCAGCAGCAGGGTAGTGGCTGCCCTCAGCGCCACCCCCCCCCCGGGGGGGGGGGGGGACCCAGCCATCTGAGGCACAGGGACAAGTGCTCATTGGATGACCTTGGAGGCTGGTCCTAGCTGGCCCACAGGCAGCCCAGCCAGGTTTCCTGAGCTGCAGAGTTCCTGGTGGGACCTTGGCACTCAACCCAGCAAGGCCACAGCTGGAACAGCACTGAGCCCAAGGGACAGAACATCTCCTGTTCCCAGTTTGTGTTTCCTATGGCCGGGCAGTGCCACCCCACAGATATGCATGCATGGGTTGGCAGCACAGACACTGCCAGGCGTGAGAAAGGCCACCATGACCTCCTGAGCTGAGATCTGTTTCAGGAACAGCATTTGGTCAGAAACAATGGCCCTGGGAGCTCCTGGGTGCAAGGCAGCAGGCCTTCTGAGCTCACTGCAGTCAGAAATGAGCAAACCTGGCTGTCTAGCTGCTGCTCCCTGGCTGTGTGACTCGGGGTGAGCCCCTTGGCTTCTCTGTGCCAAAATGTATTCCTCTGTAAGATGAGCTGGCACAGGTGAGCTCCTGCCTTGGCAGCTCTTGGGGTCAGAAACGGGGAAGCACGTAGCTAAGGGGGACCTCTGGCACACAGCAAATCTCAAGAAACAGCAGCAGCGGGGTGGGGGTGGGGTGGGTGGCACACGCCCTTAATCCCAGCGCTCGGGAGGCAGAGCCAGGTGGATCTCTGTGAGTTCGAAGTCAGCCTGGTCTACAGAGCGAGATCCAGGATAGGCACCAAAGCTATACAGAGAAACCCTGTCTCGAAAAAAAAAAAAAAAAAAAAAGAAAGAAAGAGAAAGAAAGA